TCTGGATCCCTGATGGGATTCCACTAAACTGCGATCTTTGTGAGCCACAAGCGGGCAGCTTGGATCCTGGTATTGGTACAAAGGGGAAGACAGAGATGCCCCGGACGCACCGTGCGAACACACAGATACAGTACATAGTTACACTGAGGTTATTAAACACATGATTATGGGAATAACAAAACTGGGACCTATGCAAACCTATCTAAAAACAAAGGTATACACTTCCTACCTGTTGCTGTAGCACGCAGGTTGTAGCAGGATGTTACTCCTGTGGTCTTAAATACACACACACGAAAAGAGGACGTTAACGACAGACTGTCAAGTACATGGATGTACAGCTTTTAATCAGTACAAAATAAAATGGAACAAATAATAACTAATAGGTTCAACCTGTGTTCATTTTCTCAGATGGTAATATCAACATTTTGCAAACATTTAAGTCCTACCCCCTGGGGTGCATCAGGGGCAGTGGCAGCAGTGTTTCTTGAAGCTTCAGCTTGGGTTCTTTGTCTTTTCGTAGGTAAGTTGGATGCCACTGTATTCAACCTGGCTGGAATTGAGGAATGTGACTTTGATTTCATCAGCTGAGCTCCAGCTTTTGGGGGAGGGCAAAGGGATTTAGCAGCTGGCTGTTTCAAGATTGTTTTACGGTCACAGACAAGGTTTGATGGGTCTGATGGCACCTGATCAGCTGGCTTCCTGGGACCATCTGTGTACAGCTTCTTCTGTACTGCTAGGTGTAAGCCCTCAACTTGCTCAGTGTTCAAGTTGAACATTGTACATTTAGTCATTGGTGTTGAAGTAATCAAACAGTCTGCCTTTAAATCCAGGGTGTCATCCAAATTGAAACACTTGGCTTTGAGGTTCACTGTACCAAAGCTTTGACGGTTTAAAGAATCGGAGAGCCCGCCCACCACAGGCAGACCTGAAAGATCTTTAGTCTCACAGCTACCACTGCCAGAAGCGTCATCATGGGTTTCAACCTCCTTGCCACTATGGTCCTTAGCATCTGTCGTAACATTATGCTTTGATAGATCAGGGGCAATGTCAATATTGTTGTCTTTAGGGCTGGTGGTTAGATTACTGACTTCAGGTGTGGAGGGCTTGTCTGAAGACCCCGGGCGGATGTTGCATGAGCTTGTTTCTGACAAAGTTATGGTGCCATTGGGCCTGGAGGTATTGTGGTGATCGTCACTCGGGTTCACCTCTGATAAAGTTATTGTTCCATTTGGCTTGGAAGCACTTTGGTGACCGTCACATGAGCTCATTTCTGTCAGAGTTTTTGTGCTATTAGGCTTTGAAGAAATTTGGCTACTTTCACTCTGGACCGTTTCCAACAAAGTTATTGTGTCGCTCTTCTTGGAAGGTGGTTGAGAATCAAAGGTGTTGTTCTTGAGGTCTTCCCCTAATACTGTGCTGCCACTGCTTTTATGCAGAGAATGCTTTTCAAAGGTGGCGTTCTGCACAGCAAATGGAGCACATTCCTTTAAAGATGAGCAATTTTGATTTGTGATGGGGGATGTTTCAGTGGTGCCAAAACCTGCCTGACCTGAAGTCCCATCTTTGGTGCAGCTTACATTAAATGGAGGAAGATCAAGTGTCTTATTCTGAAAGTGGGAAACTGAAGCAGTAGTATTTAAATCATTAGACACGCTCAGATCAGCGGCCTGCACGACATTAAATGTTCCATTCCCGGAGTTTGATGCTTTTGGGTTTGGCTGTGTCGCATAGTTTTTCAACTCATCGTTTACTTTGTGACAAGATTCCACAAGTTCTGAGGGGGCGTCCTTTTGACTACTACTACACTCCCTATTCGATGTAGACCTTACACTCTGAGCTGACGTGTCATTGGACGAGGTTGTGTCATGTGTAACATTAGCTGGTTGACTGCTGAATGTATCATCAGGTGATGTTGAGCTCATCTTCATATTTTGTCCACTGGGCTCGTTGGCTGACTTTGCTTCATGGCTGGCAATCAGGTCTTTAATGATAGCTTCAGGTTTATCAGAAAACTCCACAGGCTCTTCCCGGATCTCTGAGGTAACTTTTTGATTAGCACTGCACTCCACATTAGAGTCTGCAGGTATGTCACTAGAAGATATTATTTCTCGAGTAACATTAGCAGGATTTTTCCCAAGTGTATCCCCTGCCGATGCTTGACTCGTCTCTATATTATATTCACTGGGCTCTGATGAAGACTTGCTATTTTCCAAAACACTTCCCATAGTAATATCCAAAGAGGTTTTTGCTGTGCTTTCCCCCACACACTTGTCGGATTGTACACTTGTACTTAGCAATTTTTCGCCCGAGATGACATCTGAACTGCTAGGCTGTGCCGCGATTTTTCCACTTTCCATTCCATTAAAAGACCTGTCGCGTTTCAAATCAAGCGGAGGAAGAGCCTGAGTCACATCCATGGAGGTGGTCTGTTCTCCTGATGATAATGGTGAATCACGTGTAACATCAAGGAGAGTAATTTCTGGCAAGAATTTGTCAAGTATCAGCCAGGGGACCGGAGCATGCTTGTTCTGAGAGGCATCAATCATTTTGACATCTGGGTCTGTAATCTCTGTTGTTGCCATATGTTGTGAAAGATCAGGAGGATGAATTTCAGGAATATTTATTTTAGGGCTTGTGCTTGCAGAAGTTGCAGGTGCGCTGTCAGGAGCAGGGGAGTCATTTCTAGTAAGCTGTATGGTAGAATCACACATAGAATCAAATAGGGTCACTTCTGGCAAGCATTCGTCACCTAGAAAGGACACAGGACCATCCATGTCACTGAATAATTGCCCAGAATAGCTACTAGGGGGATCTGAGTTTAACTGTTGGACAGAACCTTTTGTTGATTTTTGACAATCTGCTGTGGCTGCACCAAAGGAGAAAAGAGAAAGTGTCTGACGACGATTATTTTCATGTGTTGAACTTTCTGGAGATTTGTTGCCGATATTTAAGTATTTTAAAATTGGTGTCAGAGCAGACTGGAAAGAAATCCGTGACTTTGGCTTGCTGCCTGTTGGAGCAGGGGTTGAAAAGGTGCAGGTGTCAGAAAGAGGCTTGTTTTCTTCATGGGGCCATTTGAGTTTAGAAGTCCCAGCTTTAACAGTGCCCCCGGGTGGAATGTTTTCACAGCACTCATCGGCATCTGGATTTTCCCGAATGTATAAGCCTCGCCCAGTTGGTTTGTTGGCCATGGATGGTGATGCTTCTTCTCGCACAGAATAAATGAAGGGCTTCTTATTTAAAACAGAGGGCAATACTCAGACTCCACACATATTATCAGCTGTCTCAGACTCCCTGTGCCTAAAATAAGAAAACAGAGCTTGACTTCATTGGCTTATGTAGGCAACTGAATGAAAATGTCTCACTGCTGAATTATTTTACAGCTATTTTATTTATACAAACTAGATATTAAAACAGCAAAATCAAAATGCAATTTAGCACCGACAGTAACGGACGACCATGTAATCTCAACTTGTGCTGAGTTTCTAATGTTACACCCCCAAAGGGAAAAAAAAAAAAACCCATGTCAATTTATTTTAAACCAGTAAAACTAGAGATTAGGTAACGCATACAGCAACAGCATAGCTTAGGAACACAGATTTGGTTTGTAACGTAGAGTTACGGCGGTTTTAGGTTGGAAAACGTTGCTTTCCGATTGTTTACTATGTCATATTTACGATAAATAGTTATTTCATTCATGTAATGCTCGGAACACGAGATCATCTTGAACGAGCATAGCTAAAACCTTGTAACGTTTGTTAGAAGAACGGAACCAGCTCTGCTTACCTGTAAACACGAACTTCTTAGCGGATGTTTATAGATGTGAACCTGTTTTAGTCTCAACGAGATTCTGGTTTGATAAGACAAACACGGATACTACAAAATAAATATCAGCATAAACTCTGAAACGTTTATCTTGTTAAACAACGAAGCGCCTGTCTAGTTCAAAATGTCAGTTTCCTTCACGCTCATTGGATGGTTTACACCAATCATAACGCAAGGATTCTTCTTCTGTGTTTAATCGTGAATTAGCGTTCATGCACAGACGATAGCGTTACAGTGCCATCTAACGTTGTTCTGAAAACATTTCGTGACCTTTAAAGTGTGCTTAAGTGGGCTGGGCCAGTGAAACGCTCCTTTCAATCAGTGTGTAAATAAGGTTGACTACACATGTAATCCATCTTAATGTAAAAAAGGAATGCAATTTCAACAGTATGTCTCAGTTTTTCTACATCATAGAAAAAAATGCACCTATAGCAAATGAAAGAAATGTGCCAGTATGACTATTTGGGCTTAAACGAGAAGAAATACATATGTAAAATTATAGAAAAAGCTCACTGGCACCACTGTAAAAAGACAAATAACAAAAAACAACCCCCCCCCCCCCCCCCCAAAAAAAAAAAACCCCAGAAATGTCTGAATGATTATATAATAGCATTTAACTGCTTCTGTCATTTAATTCCTTTTTAACCATGCACACACTGTAAAAACACATACATTTTTATAGTATAAGGAACTTCCCTGTCATTTAAACGATTAAATGTGTCACCTGATTACTTTAGTGTACTGCGGGTGAAGCTCTTTATCAGTAGGAAAAGTTGTACAAAAGTTGTCAATGCAGTGGGCTGCATTGAAGTCTTTGTCGTGGCGATTTTGGCTTCCAGACATTATGATTGATACCACTGCTCCAGGAGGTTTAAAACAGTATTCATTATAACATTGTGCGCAGCTCTCTGATCTGTTTCTTTTTAGATTCCCCTTTAGTTTTCTACACCGTGCATGATAGGTATGTCAATTCAAACTGTTCTACCATGTTTGAATAGACATTTAGGAAAAGAAATAGAGTAGGGGTTAGAAATGAGTTTATTAGGGTGGCAACTCAGGTTGAACAGTTTGGAGAAGAAATGTTTTCGTGACTGCTCATACAAGGGAACTCGTGTTTCTTTGTTTTGTTTTGTTTTTTTAAATTGAGATTAATTGTATCAACACTGTTTTCATGCAAGAAAGTTTATCTTTATTTTACAAATTACATTGAACAAGTAGGGGACATAAAGAACAATTTCTCAGTACACAAAATTAAAACCATATGTTTATTACATTCAGGTATTTGCACACAGCCATTGAGCTTCTCACTCCTTTGGTGTTTTCTTCAGTTTGGTCTTTAGCTCTGCCATCAGGGGATTTCCAAATCCTCTGTGGACACAGAAGAAAAATAAATAAATAAATTTTTAAAAAGTCAGAAACAGGACGTGTCTTTTCTGGTGACTGTTTTTTTCCCCCCCTTTTGCCATCCTTACCCGGGATGTTTTGGTGGCATCCATTTAGGCTTCTTCGGTGCCTCCTCCTCCTCCTGTGGGGGAGCGTCGTTCTTCTCCTCTGGCTTTGTTTCAGGTTCCTGTGGTAATTCCGTCATTTTAATGATACATATATATATCTTAACTTAAGTGGGAAAAAAAAACAGGTATTTAAACACTCTTAGCAGTACCTGTGACACTGTTTCCTGGGTATTTTCGTCTCTCACTGCCCGCTGTGTCTTTTTTAAAACAGGAAATCCAGCACCGAGCCCTAAGAAAAGCAAACGTGTGAAATTATTTGGAAGTTGTGAAAATAACAGGATATAAAGACCAGAGAAAGTCTTAATAGACTATCAAGACTAAGATATTGGGATTCATGTATCATGAGTGACCTACCAGGGAGTTTTATTCCAATACCTATGCCTCCTAAAGGCACACCTCCAGGGAGTTTGACCGGCAAACGTGAAGATGGTGTAGGTGTGGGTGTGGGTTCCTCCGAGGGCATATGAAGCAGGGAGCGGGGATTTTTAGGTGGCCTTACACGAGGGTTCTTAACAGCAATTCGTGACCTTTGCACAGCAAAGTCCAGCACAGGGCCATCCACCTGTAATGCCCCAAAAGTCTGTTATGAACATTGTTTGATTTTAATCAAAAAATTTTTTATGCCATATAGAAACAATACCTTATTCTCATATTCGATTGTTGGCTCTTCTGCTACCTGGGCCTCGTTTAGCACAGGAAATAAGGATGAATGTGCAGGCTGTGGTCTATTCAGTGTGTCCTTCTCAGGTTCACTTTGTGAGTCACTTTCAGATTCTTCAGACTCAGCGGGTTTGAGTTCATCTGAAGAATCAGACGCGGTTACCTCAAGATGCTCCTCCTCAGCTTCTACCTTCTTGTCATGCGAAGGAGAGCTCTGTGTTGTCATTGTTGTTACATCTGCTTCTTCAACATCCTCATACGCTTTCCGTGATCCACTTTCAGTCTCTAATGTTTCAGCTCTTTCTTCTGCTTTTTCTTGAGATTCCTGGTTCAGATGTGATTGAGCTTCTATATCAGCGACCGATTCTTTCTCTGTCTCGGCTGATTCCTCTGTCAGTAAGTCCTGAGTTTGAGGCTGTCCGATAACTCCAAAGATGTCTGTGGACACGCTAGCCACCAGCTCATGGATCCCCTGGAGTGAGTCAGTGCTCGTTGATTTCAGCAGCTGAGTCTCACTACTCTGAATACACGATTCACTGAGAAACTGGTCCAAAAATCCAGACTCCACAGTTGATGAAGACATTTCTGTGTCACTTACTGCCTCAGATTCCCTACAAATGGCCTCTGCTAGTGACACTTTCTCATTCTCTGTTGATATTTCACCCTCATTTAAAGTGTCTGTTTTGGCGTCCAATAGCTGCCCTGGCTTGGGCTCTTCTTGTCTAATCTCATCAGTGTCCTCTGACATCACTGCCTCAATCCACAAGTCAAGGATTTCTTCATCAATTACGTCTTGATGTCCACTGACTGAACTGCCTTTTTCCTCTGATGACGTCACTGGCAAATCCTCTGGTCTGGGCTCGTCAGCTGTTTCAGCTACTATTATTTGTGTCTCACTTATCTCAAGTGCTCTGTGTGGCGACTGATTGTTTATCTCCTGAGTCTCAGAGTGTTGAGATATTTCCAATTCTGCATTCAGAGGAATCTCTTTGTCTCCTCTTTCTGTGATTAGCTCACCTGCAGTTTCTTTAGTTATCTGTAAATCCATTTCATTTAAGGTCTGGATTCCATTTTCTGCTTCCTCCTCTTCATCTTCACAACCCCTTCCTTCTTTTTCAATGGCTTTATCTTGCATTTCAACAGAGGTATCATCAACGGATATAGGCTCAGTTTCAGCTAAGGGTCTCACAAACCCATATTCACTCGTGTCTTCTTGTAAACTTAACGGTCTGCTGATGCTTTGATCCAACTTTATGGCTGCTAATGACTCCTGAATGACGAATCCAACCACTTCTGCTGCTGCAACCGCTTCTCTTGTTTCACCTCCTGTAGATCCTCTGCCACCATCATGCAGCCCTTCTGATCTCCTTTCAGTCTCGTCCACTAAACCAACATGTGTTCCAGTCACCTCTGTCTTCATTGAACTTGTCAGTAATTTTCCTTCTTCTTTGTCAAGTCCTGATTCTTGAATTACTCCTTCAACAAGCTTGCTCTCTGCCTCTAGTTCAAGGTCCGGTGTGCCTTCGTGCTCCTCCACAAACAAACCAAAGCTCGTCTCAGTCTCTTCTTTGCTTTCTTGTTTGTCTTCCATGGACTCCTTCAGCAGTAAATGGTCAGCTCCAGTCCTGCAGTCACTGTTTTCAAGGCTCTCCTGATCTCCGCTCTCCACCTCTTCTGGTAATTGAGTTGCCGGGATTTCCTCACAATCTCCTGCTTCCAGGAACCTTTGTGTTGTATTTTCATCGGCCCTCCGAAGCTCATTGTTATATTTGGAAACTCCCTCTTGAATTTCCTCACACGTTGGAGTATTTAGTTCCTGCAGCACGGCACACTGGCCTTCACTGATCCCCGGGAGAGTGTTTTTAAATTCTTCGTCTGTTTCCTGCGTCGTTTCGCCTTTGGGCTTTACTGTAACTGAGGTGCTTGAATCTATAATTTCGTTGTAAAATTCTTCGGTGTAGGATTCACTGGAGACGCTCTCCTCTTTTTCTTGGTCTTGATCAATGAGTCTCTCTTCTGAAATATCTGTTACTGTCACACCGGCCTGCCTAGTTTTGGTCTGCACTCCTGGGACTCTCATATCCTCCTCGTATTCATCTGTGAATCCAGCTGTGTGCAGCTGTGAAGCAGTCTTCAGTGCAGCTTCTTTACCGGATAAATCATATTGAGTTAAAAGATTTTCTCCTTCAGTGTCTTCTGCTTCTGTTCCGATGTTCTCGTCCAGATCTGGCACTTCTGTTGTCTCGTTGACGGCAGGCCGCTCTGTCTCAACCCACTTCTCTTTCTCACCTTCATCATTTTCACTGCTATGAGTCATTGCATAAGATTTTGTGATAACAGTGAGCATAACCACTGATGTATCTGGCTGGTCTCCAAAAGCTGAGAGCTGATTTTCAGCTTGACTTGTTTTCTCCTCTGACTTGATTACATTTTGAGAGTCCAGTTGTAGCATAATATCACAGGCTTCTGATTCTAAACCTTGATCATCTTCATGCTGCATTTTATCATCTTCCTTTAACTCAGTTTCTTTAATGTTATCTGTCATTGGATGATCTTCCAGTGTCATTACATCATTTTTCTGTACCTCTGCCTCCTCTTCTGGACTTACATCTGTACCTATGCACACTTTCACCTCAGTGTCGGTTTTATCATTGTCGTCTGCTGCCTCAACAGTTTCTGGCTCTAAATCTTGTTCATCTTCATGCTGCAGTTTATCATCTTCTTCCTCTAATTGAGTTTCTTTGCTTTCATCCTCTCTTGGATGTTCATCCAGTGTCGCTGTATCAGTTTTCTGTAACTCAGCCTCTGTTTCCTGCTTGTGATCATCCAGTACTGGACTTATATCTGTAGTTTTGCACAGTTGGACCTCAGTGCCCTCTGCTCCTAACTGCTGTTCATCTTCATAGTCTGTTTTATCATCTTCTTCTGGTGCTTCAGTGTCTTCTACTTCTAAATCTTGTTCATCTTCATGCTGCATTTTATCATCTTCTTCCTCTAACTGGGTTTCTTTAGTAATTTCATCCTCTCTTGGATGTTCATCCAGTGTCACTGCATCGTTCTTCTGTACTTCAGACTCTATTTCCTGCAGGTGATCATTATCATAATCATTTAGGCTTAAACTTGTGCTAATGCACACTTTTATCTCAGTGTCTTCTGCTTCCAAATCTTGTTCATCTTCATGCTGGATTTGATCATCTTCTTCTAATTGAGTTTCTTCAGTAATTTTATCCTCTCTTGGATGATCATCCAGTGTCACTGCATCATTCTTCTGTACTTCAGACTCTATTTCCTGCAGGCGATGGTTATCATCATCATCGGGACTTAAACTTGTGCTAATGCACACTTTTATCTCAGTGTCTTCTGCTTCGAAATCTGCATGATCTGTTTTTTCATCTTCTTCCTTTAAGTTGTCTTCTTTGAACATTTCCTCTTCTATTGGATGATCTTCCTCTAATTGAGTTTCTTTGCTTTCATCCTCTCTTGGATGTTCATCCAGTGTCGCTGTATCAGTTTTCTGTAACTCAGCCTCTGTTTCCTGCTTGTGATCATCCAGTACTGGACTTATATCTGTAGTTATGCACAGTTGGACCTCAGTGCCCTCTGCTCCTAACTGCTGTTCATCTTCATAGTCTGTTTTTTCATCTTCTTCTGGTGCTTCAGTGTCTTCTGCTTCCAAATGTTGTTCATCTTCATGCTGCAGTTTATCATCTTCTTCCTCTAACTGGGTTTCTTTGGTTTCATCCTCTCTTGGATGTTCATCCAGTGTCACTGCATCATTCTTCTGTACTTCAGACTCCATTTCCTGCAGGTGATCATTATCATAATCATTTAGGCTTAAACTTGTGCTAATGCACACTTTTATCTCAGTGTCTTCTGCTTCCAAATCTTGTTCATCTTCATGCTGGATTTGATCATCTTCTTCTAATTGAGTTTCTTCAGTAATTTTATCCTCTCTTGGATGATCATCCAGTGTCACTGCATCATTCTTCTGTATCTCTGCCTCTCCTTCGTACGTATGAGCCTGATCTTCTGGACTTATATCTTTGATACTTCGATACACGTTTATCTCTGGGTCTGCTTCTAAATCTCGCTCTTCTTCATGATGAAGTGTATCATCTTCTTCATTTATTTGGGTGTCTTTGATAATTTGGTCCTCTCTTGGATGATGATCTGGTGTCACCGTATCAATCTTTTGTCCTTCTCCTTCTCCTTCGTGCACGTAATCCTCCTCTTTTGGACTTTTTGTCATGCATACTTTGAACGCGTTGTTTTCTGCTACCAAATTGTCATCATCACAGTGCATGTTGTTATATTCCTCTCTTACTTCAGTGGCTTCTGCTTCTGAATCTTCTTCCTTTTCATGATCTGCTTTAGCATTTTCTTCCTTCAGCCGGGTTTCTTTAACAAGTTCCTCCCTTCCTGAATGATCATCCAATAACACTGCATCATGCTCCTTTACCTCTCCCTTTCCTTTCTGCATGTGATCCATATCATCTGGACTTATACCTGCAGCTATGCATGCTTTTACCTCAGTGTTTTCTGCTTTTAACTCTCGCTCATCTTCACTGCGCAGGTTATCATCATTTTCTTCTTTTCTCAAAATGTCTTCTGCTTCAAGGTCTTCCTTCTCTTTATCATGGGTTTGATCCTTTTCTCCTTTTACTTGGGTTTCTTTTATTTTTTCCTCCTTTGTTGGATGATCACCGGGCAACCCTAATCTCACTGTTGCATTCTCAGCATCAGTTTCCTCCTCAGTTGTTTCTTGGCATGTTGCAACCTCGGACAAATTTTGTGGTCCAGAAGCGGCATGTTCATGTTCATCATTTCCAGGCCCTGCAAGTCCTGCACAAGTGGGCATTTTTTCGATCTCCATCGTGTGTCGTTCGTCTTCTTTTGCTCTTGAATCATTTGAATGATCATTTCCTGTCTTGTCACGCTGTTCCTCTCTCTTGCCCTCACCATCCTCTTTGCTCTCGTCGACTTTTCTCAGCTGGGTTTTGTACTGCATGTTTTCTTCATCAACCCCTAAGTCGATTTCTGTGGTGCAAAGTTCCCATTTGACAACGGGGCGAGATGAGCTCAGCAGAGAGGATGTTGCGACAAGCTGCTCCTCCTCGACACCTTCTCTGCTACTGTCACCCTCTGTTGAGTCAGAGGGAGGGTGCTTGATTTCAGCTGCAGATTCCTGATTTGTGTTTGGGTCATTGTTGACAGTGTCAGCGGGCTGTGGCCTGATGAATCTGTTTACAGCTCCAGTTATGTAGTACTAAGAAAAAAGGAAGGAAAAAGAAATTTGCATTATGTAACACTTTAATTTGCAGCATCAATAAAATCCAACAAAAGACAAAAGTGTGAATATATTTGTTTTCCCCGCATTGATTTATTTTCAGTCATTCCAGGTAGTTTGTATAGCCCATGTTTTTTTTGGTTTGTTTTTTTTTAAAGATGCACAAGTAGCATTTAAAGACTCTTAGTGTCACTGCATTCAAGGCTATTTACACAACAGTTTCTTTCCAGCTTTGCAGAAACTTCGTGGAAGTCTTTTCCTGTTTCAGCACCACAATACTCCCATGCACAAAACACAGCCATGAACAGGAAGAACCTGACCGGCCTCCATGGAATCCTGACTTCATTGATTATAAGTTACATTAGCTGCTAATGTATTAAAGTAAAAAGAAAAATTCAATGTAATAGACTTTAACCCTGTCAGTGCCCACCCCCCAAAAACAAACAAACAAACAAACAAACAAACAAACAAACAAACAAACAAACAAACAAACAAACAAACAAACAAACAAACAAACAAACAAACAAACAAACAAACAAACAAACAAACGAAAGAATTGCATAAAAATGAGAATAAGAATTATTTGTATTATTTTTGTTTCATTTGTTAAGATGTCCAACAAACACTCCTGTTAAAAAAAGAAAATAAAAATCATGGTCCATTCTTTACAGGATTGACCAAAACACAAACATTTTATAAATACAACATGGCAAACATAAAGCATTTAGTTTACGCTGAGAAACATCTGCATTTATTTCAACTTATGTCTTTTTGAGGATCTCATGATATTTCTTTGTTTAGCTGTTTCTTTTATCTCCAACTTCCCCATATTTGTCTGTTGTAGCTGGTGCACACTGTTCACCAACTACTTGCTGGTGAACACACTTCACCAGCAAGTAGTTTGATTGTATTAAGATTGTTTGTGGGCATCATGTCCTTTATTGGACACAGAAGTGCACACAATAGACTCAGAAGTGGGAAGAAGGAGTGTGAGTAAGCAGACTCAAACCCAAGCACCTAGAAAGGAGACTCAAGCCCCCAGAATATGGGTCACCTGTTCAAACTGGTGAAACAGGCTTTAAAACATCAGAATCTGTTTATTTTCATTGTATATCACCAAGTGTCACAATGGCTATCGAGACCAGCTGTCAGGCGACTAAACTGTGACAATAACTACCTGCCACGTCTGAAAAGCAGGTTGATGAGAGAAGCGAGAGCGGTTTAAAAGCAGATGTGAGTCCAAAATAAAGAGATGAAAGGAGCTGAATTTTTTTTGTAGATGTCATGCGAACTGTTATTAGTTGATGTGGGTTCATCACTACCAGAAATGTGAAATAATTAAACATCCAATCCAATTATATTTTAATCTAACCTAAAAAACAGAGTTTCATGAAGTGCTGTATGAAGCAGCAAAGCATGGCACAGCAATAAAACAATAAAAACAGTGATGAAGACAAAGTAAGAACACAGCACTATCATTCTGGGTTAAAAGCCAAGTAGTTTAAATTAGTTTCAACGTGTGTTTTAAAAAAACAGGCAACCAGCGGGAAATCCTAACATGGACAGACAGATAATTCCAAAGTCTATGGCTGTGATAGATGAAAATAAAAAACCCAAACAAACAAAATCCCCAAACAGGAAACATAAATCAGTGCACCCTAGCAGAAGTGAACAACAATAACAGCAGGACTCTGAAATTTAAACCCAGTAAATGGTACACCTGCGTTTCCTGTTTGTAAGACTGTCTCCTGTGTAATAACAGTCTCAAACAGTCATTGCGCTCCGGGATGCACTGTGAGGAATCTCACTAATGCGGCAACTGCAAGGAGCGCACATATTACAAGGATCAGTTCTCAGAAAGAACTGCAGACAGTCTCCAGCTGATGACCAACAGAGCAATCAGATCTCAAACGTCTGCTGTGATCTATAATCATAATCTCTCAATCAGCATCCAGCAGGTTAATGTGCACTTTGAAGGAGAAAAGGTTTCAGCAGTTAATAAAGGCTTCTGTCTAAAACAGAGAAGCTGTTCCAAGAGATGGACAAAAGATTTCTTTGAACTGTTAAGCTTTGATTTGCACTTAATGTTTTTACTTTTGAAGAATTACTGCCCAGGTTCAAATAAGCATGGAGAAGACTTCTTTGTCTTGGACGTGAACATGCCAGTGATTCACAGACATCCCCCCCTCTCTCCCTCTCCCCGAGAAAGGGAGGGGGTAAGCAGAGACATTGCGTAGGCGGATATGCGTGGAGAGAGAGAGACCCACTGACACACAGGAAGAGAGACTATTTACATCCACGTTTGACGGACTTAAAAGTTTAAAACACAAATCTTTCGTTTCGTTACAGGTTTGGATTGAAATGATGACGGCTTCTCACCCAGACTGTCCACAAAGTTCTCTCCATGCGGGACACGGGACTTTCAGGGTCCATCCTTACGCTTCCTCCTTGGTCACTCTCTGACCATCTGACGTGACGTTCTCGTTATTAAAAAAAAATCATGGACAAACCAAAGCACTGTGTCACTTTAGTTTCCCCCCCCCCTAAGCGGTCTTTGCAACCAGGCAGAAAGTCAACAGAAAGTTGCAGCCAAGCGCGTCCAGGATGGAAACACATCAGCTGTTAGTGGCCGTTCACTTCCTCCCCCTAGAACTGACATATGTCCGGGGTATGATAATGAGGAAGAGACAGATTAACACACACATTCACACGTTAACATAAGAAGACGCGTTGCAGACTTTGCGGATGTGAATAATGAGCATAGCCACAGGAAAAAAAAAGTTCGTAAAACTCTGTGACAGATACCGAAGCGCTGCTCTGAAACGGCGCTGCCAGGATCCACCTGAGAACACGCATTCATGACTAAATGACTGAGACCGCCACATATATAAGCACATGTTTATTGTTTGCATGAATACATTAATGAAATGGAACACAGAGGATACTTTTTGACTGAATTAGACACCATTCAAAGAGACCCATAAACCAAGACAGAGTCATTATTTTCACAAGTTACAAAAATAAATCATAAGGCATATGCACGAGCAATAAAATATTTCTGAAGATAGCTTCTTGATTTTATGAATCTTCTTTTTGTGCATCATAAATGGGTGACTTCACCAGCCAGTTGTTGCTGAGTGCTGCATATGAAGGATAATAATACAATGCCTTTTATGGGTACATAGAGAGCTGTGCAAAGTCTCAGAAATAGCTCCAGCTGATGCGATATGAGTCAGCTGATCGCCGCAAGTCTTAAAAAACAAACAAACAAAAAAAAAAACCCCCAACAAAAAAACATCTGGGGGCGTGAAGGTGGCCTGTTCCAAACCACCAACCCCCTCCCCCCGCTCATGACACACTGTAGAGTCAGGTCAACTGAGCACGAATGAGTCACATTGGCATTAGAAAAGAGCATGTCCCAAATTTGGTTTCATCTGATTTTAGCTTCTTAAAAAATACCTTATTTCCAGTGACGTCATTGACCAATTGGACGTGACTCACCTCTAAGTTCCATTATTAAGCAGATATCTCTTAGTGAAAATGTTTTTAGCCCTTCGTACTGTCACCATCGAATCAAATGCTCACAAAGTCACAATTATTCTCACTTTTCATTTGGTTTGTAACTCTGGGGCAAATTTTAGGGCTCTGTTATTTTTTATATAGAACGATTTCTAATGGTAGTTAAGCAGCTGTTTATGTTTTTATATGTAGGAAATAATATGCAATTTCTACAACATGGAAGAGGTGGAAGTAAGATAACCGTTATTTTTACAATCAAAGAACTGAAACGGTGCGCTGCAGTATCTACGGGGAGGCTGTTAACATATTTGCAGCAGAAGTAGCTGCTCTATGAACTGAAAGGCAGAAGCTGCAAGCTAAAGAACTAAGAAGTTATATATTTATTGGGCTCAGCCGCACAACACCTCCTCGCAGCACTGCGGAGGCGGTGCTCCTGTGGTCAAGAGTGGAGAGTAAAAAAACAGAAAAGAAAAGCCCAGCGTCAAAGCAGAAGTGCCTTTTAAAACGAGAAGTAATTTCCGATACGTCGGTTGACCAACAACAGATATCTCCTTTGCATGAGGCTTGCTGCAGTAACCTTTTCTAATAACTCATTATCACGAGAGCCTTGAAAGACTAGAATATTTAGTTTTATTTCAAAACGCTGATTAAAGCCAATCAATTACTGTTGTAACATTATTTGTAAAAAAAAATATTAATATTTGTAAAAATAAGCAGGAAGGAAAAAACAAAAGGATGTCAGAGTAAGAATAGACTAAGAATATAAATAAATGCATGATCACATCATAAACTGTGTCAGTAATAGTTCATATTTCCTGAGGGGATAAATATTAGATGCATTATAATAGAAATAGACTGATGCAGGACTTTCATGCAGTGGATGAATTCTCCTCATTGGGCTCTGGAAGAGGAAAAGAGCAAAACATGAGAAAAACTCTCCCCTACTCCATGTGATCGAATTAGCCTCTTCCTGTACGGATAGATAACAGCAAGTACTCGATAAGTGATTCTCTGGCCTTACTGAGGTTACTTCAACAGGAGAAGGGCTTAAGTGTTCACCTGTCCATGTCCGGTAAACAGGAAGCTTGAGAGCAGGGTGCGTGATCTCCACGCAGACTCTCAGACGTGCCCTCTCGTTTTCTTTGAGAACCCTGCTCAAGTTGACCTTATTGATGTGCAGCGCGCTCGGGTCGTCCTCTCCGTCCTTCTCGCCGTCTGACGTCGAGTCCTCATCCCTGTCTATGGTGTTATTCTCCTCATCCACGTTTTCGTCGATGTACTGTATTCCTTCGATGTCAGGGTCTGTGACTGCCGCTTTTGTTTCTGAAAAGTGATGAAAGTTCAAAAAACACATACAGAGCTGTATATTTTTGCTTTCTTACGATCACCCTCGCTTGTAAAATGAAAGTGGACATTTTAATGCACACCAAAGAAAGATTTACTTCAGTGTTTATTTTCCTTTGAAAATAATCCTAGGGATAGCGTTCCACGTTTAGTCTACCAGACCATAGACAGTAGAAAGCGTTCAGACTTTCAGCTTTCCAGGTGTATGTAAACTGCATTCTATCCGACGGCCAGCAGATGGCGACAGTTGCATGGCAAAAAGAATAAAATTGAGTCTGTTTCGTATATTTTGGTCACAATATGGAGGATTATCTATGATATGAAAAGCTCATTGTCTAATGAGCTGTCAGTCCCAGATCATTAGCCAGTGTGGGTGTAGTTTTAAACTCAAAACCATCAGAAAACAGTGGGTTCCATCTGTATTTTATACCATCTTTGACTCTAAGAAAGGTTACAACTGAATTTGTCCTATCTATCTATCTATCTATCTATCTATCTATCTATCTATCTATCTATCTATCTATCTATCTATCTATCTATCTATCTATCTATCTATCTATCTATCTATCTATCTATCTATCTATCTATCTATCTATCTATCTATCTATCTATCTATCTATATCTATCTATCTATCTATCTCCTTTTACGTGTAGATATTTATGTATCTCAGTACTTATTGCATATCCATTTGTTTGTCTCTTCAGCGGTTCGTTTGTCTGACTCGGTTGGCTTGTGGACATCTCCAGGGCACACACGCTTTTCATTTCTCTTTGTCCATCATCTCCGATCTCCTCCGTCTCATTGGACACCAGTAGCAAGAGCGTGGGTCCTCCTGCTGACCACTGTAACTTGGCCTTTGGGTGACCTCCCTTCAACAAGAGGGAGAACACACCAATGCCTTCGCTGCTCCAGCAGACTGAGATTGATGGAGGAATGGATGGAGCGACTGAGGAACAAGGGATACAGATAGTTACCGTTGGAACATCCTTGAGACTTTAATCGTGCAGTTTAAAAAGCAGGTAAAAGTGCGTCAGTCAGTCCTACCAATGTCAGCATTTCTCCAGTGTTTCTCAACAGGATCCTGTAGGGAACAGTGTCTCACTCTACAAATAATCCCTCCTCTTTTGTCGATTTTCTCCTGATTTGTTGCCCTTCTCTTCAGAGTGGCTGTCGCCCTGTAGCGTCTGGGTTCAGTCTGTATGGGGCCCCATATCTCTCCTCCTCTATCACCTCCTCCTCTCCATCATCTTGCTCTCCCTCCCTGAATCTAAGCCAAGTCACTGAAATGTTCGGAGGGTAGAAATCTGTGATTTCACATCCTAGAGTTTGATCTTGGGAAATGGTGGAGCTGACAATTTCAGACACGCACGGCCTCCTGATGAATCCTGTTTGGGATCAAAATAAAAAAATAATCTTTGATTTTTCAACATTTCCCCCATTCCCTCCTCATCCCTCATCCTTACCTCTGGTCTCCCGGGTGATGGGCTGCTTCAGGGCAATGTGGTGGACGCTAACCCACACTTTAGTTGCTCCTTTCTCCAGTTCAGTGCGGGGAAGTTTACACTGGCTGTAGGCTGAAAAGAATCCCTCCGAATTGGGCCGAGGGGAGGACGATGCCTGGGACGCCACGGGGCTGAGCTCACCGCCCTGGCAGAACCAGCGGAAAGTGATGACGTCTGGATGGAAATGGGATGCTCGGACTGTCAGGCTGATGACATCTGGAAGATGGAAATGTCATCAATGGTAGCCTCCTGCAAACAGGTTAACTTTAAATATGCATATTTAAAGTCTTCTTGAATTACCCGAGTCTCTTTGTGTTTCTGCCAGCTGTATTTCTGACACCTCAGGAGGAGCTGGGCAACAAAACATACAAGTGATTCAGCTGCAGGACTTACAAAAATAAACTGAATAATAGAAAAAAACATGTTCTTACACAGAACAGTGAACTTCTCTGACACCCTCTCCTCCACGATCTTGTCCTTGCCTATGTAGGACACCTGGCACTTAAACACAGCACCCTTGTGGATTGAAATCTTGGGGATGAAGGTGAGCGAGGAGATCAGCTGTTGAGTGCCGTTTTTGGACGAGTGCAGCGGCCCCTGAGTGTGCAGCTTGTAGTAACCCATTTCACCTCTGGAGGGCAGCAGAGGACCTTTCTCTGACACTGGGGAGGTGAGAGTTAGACCATAGGGTAGATGGATGGTGATTAGGGGGTTACAGAGGCAGTTAAAGTTAGCTTTGGAAGTCCCTGTGAGTGTCAGGTGGTCAATTGTTAGATCAACGTGTTAAAGAGGGGGAAACAGAGGACGTTAAAGGGTGTTTGCGAGAAAAATCCAACATGTGTAGCACCAACACTTGCATTTCATTTCCCCAGTTCCCTAAACAACCAGCTTCCATCACCAAAAATTGCTTTAAAGATTGATTCTGCTGTGCTTTAAATATGTGTAAATTAATTCCTTCATTCAAACAATAAGTGTAACAGCTGGAGCACAGAAAAAAAAGGAGAATGCGACGCATCCTACCTGCGAGGGAGTTGTCAAAAATAGGGGTGTCATTGAGAAACCATGCGGTCTGCACCTGGTCCACCCTCCTGCCTTCAATGCTCAGTGACACCCTCCCCTTTTGACCTACTATCACTCGGGGAGGGAGGATGATCCCTGACACGCTGAGAGATTTCTGTTTCTCTGAGCAGGGTCACAAGCAATTATAAAATAAGAGACACTGAGAGAGAGAGAGAGAGATAAGGTGATATATTCACATACAAATA